GCAGGTAATCAAGGGACGGATAGGTTTTGTGAAAGAGAGTAGATCATAATCTTGGTTCCAAGGATTTCAAGAGGTTTAGTGTTATGTTAATTCATTTATTAGATTTTGTTCCTTTCTAGCTATTAGATTAGATTTCTTTGGTTGTTTTTAGATTTTCCTCGGTTGTTGGAGGATTTTGGAAATAGTTTGTTTTTGGAGACCTTTATATCTTATTTGGAGTTATATTCAATTTCGTTATTGGAAGATTTTATTTTGTATTGGAGACTATATTTTGGAGGTTTTATATAGCGCTCCGTTACGTTTTGAAGTAACCTGCCTTCCTCCGTAATGGGGGTGTTACAAGATGTATATTGGGATAAGGGTGACAAAATCAACTGTATGTTAAAAATGGGATTTTGATCATATGGAACTGTCATCACATCCTTGTGATGTGATGAGTTTGATTTTATCGCATCTATATGATGTGATGAGATGATGTTATTGCATCAATGAGATGCGAGAAATGTATTTTATTGCATCCTTGTGATGCAAAGAGTTGGATTATCGCATCCTTATAATACGACAAAGTTACTGATGCGACAAAGTGAAATAATCGCATTTATATGATGCGAAAAAGTATATTATCAAATATATATGATGCGATAAAAATGTGATCATATCAATGAGGTTAGTTTTATGATTATTGCGATAACTTTGGTACTTAAATAGTTGGATGCGATAAGATGATGTTGTCTCATTATATGATGCGACAAAGAGGTTTGTTTCAGTAAAACATTGTTTAATTGTTGTCAACACAATTATGGGCTTTTTAAAATTGTTTTGGTGATTTTCACCTTGTAATAACAGTCAAAAGGGATTTCTCACTAGACCATATGATCTAACCCTCATTTTGTTTAAAAAATGTGCATTACATGCCGGACACATATGGAGAGTAAGGGAAAGGGAAAAACGTGAAGAAGTTATGATTATTTTACATATGTGAATTTTGGGAAGCTGTTATATTACATGTACTTGAGAACTTGTTATATCTGCAAGTCATGTACTTGGTATAAATATAAATTTTTTATAGCTACTTTTGCATGTAGCATTTTGTATATACTGGGACCAACGTGTATATTCGTATTTCATGCTAAATGAAATGTGTGGTTTTATGCAAATATAAATTTGGGGTGTTACAATACTCTTTAAAGCAAACCCGTAATGCATATGTTGTTTGACAATTTTACCAAATGGCACCCCACATGATTCAAGCCGTAAAAAGCCACACCATAAAAATACTATATGATACGTTAAAGTTTGTGGTTTGTCTTAAATGCACTTCAAGCCAAATTACATACAATTATAACTTCAAAGGACATTCTATAATAATACGCCGATAATCAATGCCATAAAAAGTATAAATACGTAGTTCAAACTTTATATTACATGATTAAAAATAGTCTAAAATCAATTGATTATTTTGTATTTTTAAATAGTATTTGTTAACATTTATATTGATTATTAAGTGAAAAAAACACTAAATAGCTCACTGGAGGTAAATTGATCATTTTAACCAGTTCTGTCATGTTCTGTCATATCTTACCAAAAACGTTGAACACATATTTTATTCTGTCCTATCTGTGTACACAAATAATTGTTTGATGCCTCTAATTTCATATTATAGCCCAATTGTAGACTTGTAGTGGGCTTTGGGCTTTTGGAGGTGAGATGCTATGGTAGTACTATGTTGAGATGGCCAAATGGGCCCGGCCCGGCCCGGCCCGGGACCGCCGGAGGACCGGGACCGACAAAGGACCGGCCCGGGACCGGGAAGGACCGGTTATGGGACCGAAAACCGGGACCGGTTGAGGTTTTTGGTAGTTTCGTGGGACCGGGACCGGTTATGGGACCGACTATGGACCGGCCCGGCCCGGCCCGAAAATTCAATTAATTTTATAAATAAATGTATTTTTAAATAATTTTATAATGTATTTTTATAAGAAAACGTAATTTTAATTATATTAAAACGCATTTTTAAAGTGTATTTGAGTGACCCAATTGTAAATTTTATAATGTATTAAAAATATATATCATTAAAAAAACAAAATAAAAAATCTTATTTTTTTAATGAAGGACCGGTTGGGACCGGTTGGGACCGGGACCGGCGGTCCATAACCGGTTATAAAGTACCTATACCGGTCCTATCATTTTCGACCAGGACCGGGACCGAGACCGGGACCGGTTACGCCGGGACCGGTTATGGCCGGTTATGAGAATGGTGAGGAGCGATTGGGACCGGCCCGGGACCGGTTTTTGGCCATCTCTAGTACTATGGTACCGATTCATTTAATTATTTATTAATTTTTTATATATTGAATATTAAACTTCGTAGTTTTAGCTATTTTGTTTGAACATTTGAATACTTACAAGTTTTATTCATTGCAATTAAAAACTCTTAAACATCACATGTAATATTTGAAAATTTTATAATGTCAATTCAAAATTTGAACATAATGACAAGTTTTCATATATGTAACTTGAAGTTGATACAAAACTAATACCAAAAAAAAAAAAATCAGTACCAAAAATAGTTGACTGACACTTGATATAAGATTCTGCATACCAATTATAATTGATTGGTACACGATGTTAAAGAAAAAGACTCGATACTTAACCTAGAGCTGCAAGTATCGATCAGAAACACAAAACAGTATAAAAAATGACTGTCAATTTTATTTTATTTTATATGACGGGGATTATTATTTGTTTATTTGTGATTCCATGTGAGAGCAGGAGCAATGTACCTCTTTGTTGAATAAAATCTGAAGCCGCAGTTTGTGTCTCCCATGTGACTCGACGTTTGTACAAACATTCATGCTTTTAAATTCAATTTTTGTATTAAAAATATTAATTACATTCAAAAGGAAATCAAATAATTTGTTTATTAATATCTTATGTTTAATCGTAATTTCAGATCAACACCGCATAGAAATCAGAAAATATTTTTTCAAATGATTATATAGTTTAAAGAACGTATAAAAAGTAGGATTTCGACCGTTGATCTTGAATGTATCATCATCTGAAAAATAAACTCCAATACTATGAAATTAAACATATGATAACATAGGATAAAAATCCCCTTGTGGTCACGGAGGTTCAAATACGGTGACTCCAAATTATCTACTAAACAGGTGGTCGTCTTGGGATTAATCGACTCACATAACGAATTGAATATTCAGATTAATAAAAAAAAATCTGATTGAAAACTTTTTTCCCCTTAAAATCTAATTTTAGAATATTGAAGAAAAGCATGGTCTTTTGTTGGTTGAAAGTAATTGGTCAAAGAAGAATCTTGATTAGATTGCTTTCCCTAATGGATGAGACTCACTTTTCAAGCCGAAAGTCATGGACCATTTCATCACTTTGCCTCTACACCTCTTCTAAGAGACCATTGGATGATTTTTGGGGTGGGGTGGGGCCTAGGGGCTAGGGGCTAGGGGGAAAGTACCATTCTAGAATTTGGTTTCGATGAACAAAAACCGATCTTTTTATAGCAAGGGTATGACGTCACCATCTGAAGCAACCAATCTTGTTATCGGGACTTGACAAAATTCGTGCCCAAGTACACCCATGTCCTCTGGGTCGAGCTTAGCCACTAGTTGCACCAATTTGACACAGAATCAACTTTTTGTTGAATGGCAACGTAACGGATAGAGTCATAATGATGAATCATACATGATTACATGTTATCATCAAATCGTTATCATCCCTCGTAACACGTTCAAAACGTTTGACAAATTTTTATAACCATTATTGAATGATGTGGGCATTCAACGTGTTGAAGATAACACCATGGTTGACTCTTTTCTAATCAACGACCGGGCCGGCTGCCCAAATCTGGCCACGATTCGAACCACCACCAACTTGTGGTGGAGGAAAGTCCACAAGATTCAATCAGTGAAACATAATGCAAGTCCCTTTCAAGCCACAAGAACAAATCCTCCATTAAAACAGATAAATAGCCATCTAAGACCATAATGAAGTCAACATAAACTAGAATCTTGATATTTACAGATTATTTCCGTAGAATACGTGGAGACCCCGTTAGATTTCTTTTTAAAAAGTCGTTCAAAAGAGAATTGGGGTTCTAACATATACCGAGGAAAACAGTTCCAAACCTAGCCAATCTGGGACTCTAACTTGGATTGATATGSCAAAAGAAGGGGCGATATGTACAAGTGATGTAAGCTCATAATTCGACTATGCTTTAATAAGTTGTATCGAAAGGGCGTCACGAGCAAGATCTAACGATGCCGAAATTGCAAAATGATTTGGATTTGAAAAGGCCACCAAAGAGGAACCTGTTGGGAGATTCTTGAGAACTTAGGCTCGAGTCTTGAGGGTTGCCTTTCACTTTAAGGATCGTTTGCCCGATATCTTTCCTGATAGAGTCGATAATCTTGGGGTCCACGGGGTACCCAGAAGCATCACGAACATAGAACGTATTCATGGCTTTCCCGGCCCGTGTTGCCACCTCAGCTCTCGTGACAGTGAGGCTATTCTCACGGAAAATACGAGTGACATCAGATAACAGCCCAACTCTGTCTGTTGTGCATAGTTCTAGCTTCAATCCCTAAATTAAAACAAAAAACAACATCAAGTTTCCTACGTTTAACACTAAAATATTGCGTTAATTTAGAACGATCAGTATTATAATACGTTGGCATCTTTAAAGAGGCTTGAACTAAATATCCACCGAAACCATCAGGCCACAGGCCACTTGGTGCTAAAATATAATCGAAGAATCAAGTTTCACACAAAAACAAGAAGATACAAAAGAACATAATCAGACAATATCAAGCATTTCGTTTGATGGCTGGGGACCGCATCAGCATTCGAGTTCTAGGTTACGATGGAAGAACCGTTGTAAGCATTCTTTAATCACTCATGATCCAACCAAAAGTTGAGAAAATAATCAATATATTTTGTCTTAAACAAGTAGTAGTCCAAAACCGAATACCAGCCAAATATCATAGAAATAGAAAAGGACAAGCAATTTAGGATCTTAAGGGTGCGTTTTGTAAGCGAATATGACTGGACAAGCAAGAACGAGGTAAGCACGTGATAATGAATTCCAGAAGACTTTAGTATCTTATTTGACATGGATAGTTTAGTAATTTATCAATCTTGTCCATCTTCCTGATTTTTGTTCCATCTATTTTCGTAGGACAAGAAAAATGCATTTTTGTCCCACTCGGTCTTGTCATGTCAGAGTCTAAATGTAACCAAACGCACCCTAAAAGTGTCGCCTTGTATCCGATGTAATACCGACAAAAAAGAGTCCGTCTTTGACTTTTGAGTGCCATATGAGTTCTTTTAACTTAAAAATCGACAATAACTTTCTTTATAAGATATATTAGAATAGGTTCGTTTGAAGATCGAGTAAATTTGACTTGTAATGTTTAAATTTCTGTTATAACTACGATATAAATGAGATGTGCTTAAAAATGGCATATTTCGACTAGTATTTACCTCAGAAACTCTTCTTTCTATGGCAGCTTCAAGGCATTGGATCACCCTTTGCCTCTCTGCATCTGAATTCACAGGGAAACCATCGATATGTCTGATACAATATTCCTTCAAAAAGAAAGAAACCCATTATAAGAACACTAAAAATCGAAGCTATAATCGCAAAATAACAAAAGAGATTCAAGATCTGCAAACCTGATAAGCTTCTGGCCCTTCGGCATCAACATTTCCATGGAAAACCACATAATCCATATCCGTTAATGTGCAGATTGTATCAAACAGAAGTTTCTGCCGATCTTTAGACCTTATTGTGACAACCGAATAATCTTTATCGTACCAATTAACAACATTCACATCAGGCCTTTGATTTTCATTAGAACCATCATCAGGTCTCTCGTAGTCCCGGTCAGCAAACATCATCTGGTGGAGCCGTCTCTCGGTGTGAGTAACGCCATGAGAGACCACGGTCTTAGCTTCTTTTGATTTGTTGCTACCTTTAAGTACATTGCAAAGCATTTTTTTTATAATCGAAAGCTTTTCGGGATCCATAATGGCTAATCCGGACTCCTCATCGGTCACTTGCATCACGGATGCAGCCCTTGTGTTGTGGGTCCAGACCTCGCCGTTTAACACGTTACACTTCAAGTGTGTGAGAACGGCACACAGTTCAGAGAGTAGGCCAGGTCTATCACTTCCTATTAACTCGATTACTGTGTGGTCCTTTGAGGATGTCAACCCGACGGATCTCATTGACGACGTGAAGCTAGTTTCCGAGCCAAGAGCCTGAGGAAAAGTCAAGAAATCAGGTTGTTTTTTTTAGATTCTTGATTTTGTTTAATAGAAAACATTAGAACATTTCATGGAGGTTTCACATATTCTCACATTGTATCAGTACTTCAGAGCAAATGTCTACTACTCTCGACACTAAGACAATTTATACTCGTCGCTCATCTAGCCCCCTCTCGACATCTGTGCACTTCTAGCCTCCGTCCGTTGCTATTTTCTTCTTGATATATATTGGAACCTCCTTTCTCTCCCCAAGAACTTTTTTGGAGAGCAATCTAATGGGGTTCCATATATTCTCACATGGTATCAAAGCAAAAGGTTCACCACTCTAGGGACTCGACCTCTGTCTAGCCTCCGTTGGAGAGGGGTGTTAAGAGTCCCAAATCGGCTAGATTTGGACCATCTTAATACATGTTGGAACTTCCTTTGAAGAGCTCTTTAGTAGAGCAATCTAATGGGTTCCACGTATTCTCATATTAATGAATACAAACAACGTAACAAAACGCATCCAAAGTATGTTTGAAGGAGAACAAACAAGATTACCTTTCGAATGTAACCCAAAACTACTTCATCTGTGATCTTGTTCCCTTCTTGATCAGTGACATTGAAAACTATCCAAGAATTCAAGGAACAACAGAGTTGTTAAGATTATGACGAAACTAGACTCAGGATACAAAAAATCAGATTAAAAGACAGAATTATACCATCCATGAACCACCCTCCATCAGAACTTATGTAAGCTTTGGTGACGATAAAATTAAGATCAGTAAGAACTTGAACAACTTCCAAAAGTATGCCATGTTTATTAGCACTATCCACCTGTTACAGCAAGATGGATTCATATAATCACTCTATTTTAAACAAAAAAAATCAAATCCCAGACAATTAAGGTACACAAATACCTGAATAATGGTGGCATTTTTACAAGATTCGTTGTCGATTACAACTCTTGGCGGATTCATTCTTCGAATAAACTTCTCATATTCATCTTCCATGTTTCCAGAAAAGCTAGTACTGCAGGTCTCTGAGGAAATACGTCGAACAGATTAGGTGCAATGTAAACCACAAAAAAAAAACTAATCAAGAAAGAGAGAGATCATGTGAAATAACATTACCTATCACAAAAAAACTAAAGAAGGTATGTGTCTGTATATAAAAGGAAGAAAGAGTGTGCAGTAAGTAAATAGGGATGTGTGGGAAGAAAAGGAAAGAAAAGGGCCACAACGAATAATGATTGATGATGAAGATCTGAGATAGAATTAAAAACTCCAGATACCAGGAAGGCCAATAGAGAAGCCTTAAACCACCATAAAAAGGGTGTTCAGGTCTCTCTGTCCATGTGGGTATGGTGGGGTTCCCTTTGCCTCCCTGTGGGAGCCATTTTCAGATACATAAGAAACAGAATCACAGAACAGAGACGCCAAAAATTAAGCTAAAGTGAGAGTGATTTTGAGGTCGCTAGAACCACCAAATACATAACCAAAACCCAACAATTGCACCCATTAAAGCCTAACCAATACCCAACTCTGAAAAGTGAAAACCCCATCAATTATTTGCAGAGAAGAAGCTTTCAATTGATGTAAAATGATGCACAGAACAAACCGACGCATAAACTTGACGAGAAAAACAACGAATCAGATTGAAGATATACAAGAAAAGAATACATACCCATTGCGAATTTTGATCTCTATCTTCTTGATTCTACAATCATAAACAAAATCCGATAGGGAAGAAGTTGTGGAAATCCCTCAAATGCCTCTTATATATGTATGTATATCAATATGTAGAATTTGTTTACCAATTATATGTATGATTTCTTTCACCCATACATAAAAAGCAAATCTATCTTCCTCTACGACTCTTTGTTTTGCTAAATTGGTGGGTATTCTCACGCACATGAAGGTGTGGATTGAGTGTGTATAACTCCCTTTCTCCCCACTCGAACGTTTCTAATTCTAATTACAGTTTGGTCTTGAAAATTTTCTATTAAATGGGGAGTTCCCAAAAACGGTAGTGGGTCGGGTAAGCACGCTTTAGCAGGAGCAGGATCTTGCAGCAGCACATGTTAGCTGGATCTTGTGTATGTTAGCTGAATGGTTAGAGACTTTATTAACGTGCGCCTGTGGTGAAACATTTGGGTTTTACTTTTACCCAGGCACGTGGTGGGGAAATGACTAATATCTCCAATGTTTGTGGAGAGAGAAGCAAAGATCGCACGAAAATGACTTTTAACATAAATAAATAATTTTTACATTAATTAAGGTTTTATATTATTTTTATTTTAAAAAACACCCTTTGATATATAATTTATTAAAACTTTGTATTATTTTCCAGTTTAATGAATTTAGTGGGATGTTACAAAAATTAGTTGTATGATTTTAGGGATGATAATTATATCATTTATTTTAAGTTTCTCAATGAACAAGTTTACAGAAAGACAAATATTGGATTCAACTTGAACAAGTTCAAAAGTGAAACCAGTAAACAAGTTTCATTGATGATCAGAGTACATTTACGATAAGCGTTCGTCTAAGAACAAGGTAGTGATAAGTATCATGAACATTGTTTTACAGTGTTCATGTGATCATGATCATTTGTGCACATGCATACTATTTTTTTATGTCTTAATTCACGTATGAAGAGGGTTCACTTATTAACATAGTTCACTTATGAATAAGTTTCAATAATGAACACATTAACTGTTTCACTCATGAACTTGTTCAAGTTGAATATCCATCTTTTGCCCTTAGTAAACATGTTCATTGAAAAACTTGTGCAAGGGTGGTGCCTAATTGGTCAAAAGTACCAGGAGGTCTCAGGTTCAAATCCAAGGAGGAATAAAAATCCCTTGTGGCCTCGGAGGTTCAAATGCGGTGACTTCGGGCTATCTGCAAAGCAGGTGGTCGTCCTGGGATTAGTCGGCTCGCATAGCGAGTTGGATATCCAGATTAATAAAAAAAAAAAAAACTTGAGAAACTTGAAAGACATGACATAATTATCATCTCTAAAATCATGAAACTCTTTTTTGTAACATCTCATTAAGTTCATTAAATTAATAACTAAAAAGTTTCTCTTGTCTTTTTCAAAATTACCCTTATTCATTGTTGTTCACATGCATCAGTTTCAATCTTATTACAAAATTACCATTGATGAATTTCATCTGTATATTAGATAAATTAAAGGCTAAGATTGATTTACATAGTTAACACCAATTATTAGGTTAACAGTTATGGTGTACGCGGATTAGGTTGACGTGTTAGTAGTCACAAAAATTTGAAGAATGAAATACTTCATAAGACTTAAATGTACAGAGCCAAACTATAAGCGGATTTTTCAAACAAAGTGTCGTATTAGTTATTTTATAGAACAATTTGGGAGAAGTGTCATGTAAACTCATCTATTTCTTACACACTTATGTTCATATGACACTTTTTCAAATAGTGTCATACAAAATAATGAATACAACACTTTATTTTCAAAAATCATCCTAAAAATTTATTAAGACATCCAAGAGCGTCCTATAAACATATTGTAACACTTTTAATATGACATATTTTTGTTTCGTCTTATAAAGTATCATAGTAGGAGACTTAGACATTTTTGGTGTCCTATAAACCTAATGTTATAATGAATTGCTATAATTATTAACATTGTTTTCCACCAAAGTCCAACATCAAATAAGAGAGTCTTTTGCACTGATAGAATGATCAACCAACCATCTATCAACATGATTCATATTCTCCAATATATCCATTTGTTTTTGCAAAAATGATTTCAATAATTTTCTCATATATGATTATTTGTCATCATTTTTTGGTGGTGAGTCTCTTTTGATGACCTATACATTTACCTAAAAAGAAATACAAATATGACTCAAAAAAATATATATAAAATTTTGCACATAATTAATATTATATATATATATATATATATATATATATGTACACACACATTTGTATGTGTGTTAATGGTTTGAATAATCTTATAGAACAAATTAAATTTATGTAAACTTATAAAACAAACAGGAAAGAAAAATCATTTATATCAGATATACCAAACTTATAAGAAAATTATATGAAGGGTGCAAAAATCAGGATTAATCTCCTCACTATTTTTTCAATCTTCAAACAGTTCATGTTTGACTATCTGTGCATGATAATAAGAGTAAAGATTTACCTATTTAGGGCTTAGTTTTTTGTTTCTTTTAATGTTTATTTAAGTCTTAAGCTACATAATTATCATTTATTTCTTAATTTATATGCTAAAAAACAAAAACAAAAAAGCCTCATGTTTTGAACCCTGATTTTAATTATGATTATTTTTTAAACAATTTTTTATCAAGTCTTTTTTTTATGAATAATAACAAGGACGATAATAAAAAGAGAACCAAAATTATGTTACAAACCCGTGAGAACTGATATAAAAATATATGTTTACATGATTTTTTTCATCAAAACCTATGATTTAAGATATTGTTTCGCATACATTTATGTTCACCTTGTGAAAAGATTACATGTGAAAAAAAAAATATGTTTCATTATGTATTATCTTATGTATTACAATAAAATGAAGGAGATTTTTCAATGTGAGATCTAAAAACATATCTTTTCGTGACACCGGTGCTAAGTACTTTATGGTTCGCTTCTTTGGCAGGTTTATTGATAGAGATTAATCGTTTTTTCCTAGATGCATTGACGTTCCTTTTTATTTTCATTCTAGTTATTGATCTGCGAAGGAATTAAGAAGATTAAAGACACAATTAAATACCAGAGTTCATTCCATCTTTGAAATCTCAACGGTATTTGTAAACATTAAAAATATCATATTATTATAAATTTCAAATAAGAAAAAACTATAAGACGGACTTATCAAAATAGAACTACGTAAAAGGACATGATGTATTGAATATTGAAATTACTCTATGCGTTTAAGCAATTTATTATATTTTTAATTATCATGCTGAACGTGGAGGTTGTAAAGATTCAAAAATTGTACATAATGGATCAAAATTTATACATCTTAAAAATTCAATAATAACCATTTAGCATGTTTTATAATATAATATAATATAATATAATATAGATGATATAGATAGATAAGAGTGTAAATTAAGAGATATAAACCAAACTAAATATAAGTTTTAAAAATAACTCACTACATATTTATTATATTTAATATTATGACAAAATCTAAAATATTCAATATTGATTCATTTTAAAGGTGTTGATGAGACGATTGTAATTATATAATTTATAAGAA